TCTTGAAAGACTGCGGGCCGGGACTTTGCTGGAGAGGAATTCACTGTAAATTAAATAAAAGGGGTTTATTGCTTTGTGCTGCTGGGGAAGCCTAGGTCAGAACAACCAGCCTGCTTTCTGGCAACAGTCTGATGGGAGAATCGAGTTGAGCCGCCACTTGGCACTAGAGCAGAGGCAGAGGGTCTTTCAGTAGCAACAACTCCTGATCATCCTGATCATCCAAGTTTTTCCCATTCCAGAAGGGCAATGACACAACTCACCTCCTCCTCTTGATGTTCTTTGCAGATATTAGTCCAAACCACTATTTTCGCGCAGATGTTACCTGACCAGAAAACCCGGTTGGTTGAGCATTTGCAACATTTGAAGTAAGTATGGGGGATGGAGGCACGATTTCCCCGCATCCCTCTAGTGGATGGGAGAGGGGAGGAAAGGGTGTGTGTGCAGAAGCACGGGAAGGATCTGATCCCGCACAAGCCCCCACTTGCGAACCTAAAGCCTGGCAGCTTCAGAGCCAAAAGGGAGGCCTTTCCTGTGAGATCAAGAGTAGCCAGCATCACAGTTGCATCTGGAGAGAAGGGGAAGGCAGAAGTTGAAGCAGGCTGCATGAGCTCAAGGTTGTGGGCTGAAAGATATTAACTGTACTCAAGACCAACTCCCCCTACTCCCTTTTTGGAGAAAAAAAACAAGGTGGGTGGGAATTGATCTTCCGCTTTAGGGAATGATTGTGTTGCCTGCAGCTACTGCGTGGCCATGTGTGGAGATGGGGCCAACGACTGTGGGGCTCTGAAGGCAGCCGACGTGGGCATCTCACTTTCAGAAGCAGAGGCCTCAGCAGCGGCACCGTTCACTTCCCAGAGGGCCAATATCGAGTGCATCCCCATCACCATTAGGTAAGTTTTTTGAAAGCCACCGGTGGCGGAATCAAGGGCCTCCTTTCCCCATCCAGGTTCTCCTCTTCCTGGAGAGGCCACGAGTATAGGTGACTTCTTTGAGAGAGGGAAATTCAAACCCTGCCTCTTTGCAACAAGCTATGTTGACCATGTGGGACGCCGTGACTCAGTGGCTAAGACGCTGAGCTTGTCAATCAGAAAGGTTGGCAGTTCGAATCCCTAGCACTGCGTAACGGAGTGATCCCCCGTTACTTATCCCAGCTTCTGCCAACCTAGCAATTTGAAAGCATGTAAAAAATGCAAGTAGAAAAATAGGAACCACCTTTGGTGGGAAGGGAAGAGCGTTCCATGCGCCTTTGGCATTGAGTCATGCCGGCCACATGACCACGGAGACGTCTTCGGACAACTCTGGCTCTTCGGCTTTGAAACGGAGATGAGCACTGCCCCCTAGATTTGGGAACGACTAGTACATATGTGCAAGGGGAACTTTTGCCTTTGCCTAAATTTCTTTTAGTCAATGTTTTTAGAGTCTTCATTTTCAGGTTTGCAGAGAAATTGGGGGGGCTTCAGAGCTTTAACTATGGAAATCCTCTCCTATGGAAAGGCTCAAATTTTAATTCAGCATTTTGAAGGACCGAAGAGCAGCTATTCTCCTTATCTTTTTTTTTTTTTAATAGCAAATAAAAATTTGCT